TTTTCTCTTTTTAGGCCACTGATGAAGAACAGGTGGTGACTGGGATGAATGCTGGTCAAAGAGGAGAATGTCCTTTCCCCCAAACTGATGCAACAGTGGTTTTAAAGGAGGAGGCTGCCCTGGATAATGTAAAAGATGTCATATGTCTTTGCTGTGCTGATGGGGCTTCTTCAAGACTACATCAATTATGCTAAAGAGATCATGAAAATTGGCAGCGATGCCTGATCTGTATTCATGGACTATGAAACAAACTGTAAGTGTATAATTTATAAAAAATAAATGTTAAATGCTTGTTCTGTGTTCAGTAGAAATGGAGTTTACACTCATTCATACACATGCTCACATTCTTTCACACGTTTCTGATAAATGTTATAATATCAGTGTTAATGTTGTGGTTTATTTACTGTCATGCCAGAATAGTTTGTAAAGAACTTGACTATTAACTAACTGTACAACTATTGTAAAAATTACCAAAAAAGTCAAATTTGATCTTAAAAGTTATATTCAACAAATGTTCAATGCTTCATTTATAAACTCTAGCTGTTAATGCCATACTTTTCTGCATTTCTTCTTACATGCATGTTACTTTTGACTGTTTTCTCTTGTTTTAAATAAATATTTACCTTTTGATAGTCATTCTGTGTGTGTAAAAGTGATTTTAAAATGAACAAGATTTGTAGGTTTAATGTCTAGCTCGATTTGGGTTCATTTTAGCCTAGCAGTGTAGTAATTTTAAACCATAAAAAAAACAACCCAGCATGCTGGGTCAAACATAATAACCCAACTTGTTGGGTTATTTTGGCAACCCAGCGCTGGGTCAAAAAGGGACTAACCCAGTGCTGGGTTGTTTTAACCCAACAAGTTGGGTTATTATGTTTGACCCAGCATGCTGGGTTGTTTTTTTTATGGTTTAAAATTACTACACTGCTAGGCTAAAATGAACCCAAATCGAGCTAGACATTAAACCTACAAATCTTGTTCATTTTAATCTTGTTCTGGGTTGTTTTTAACCCAGCCGTTTTTTAGAGTGAATACTCAATTACAAGTAAAAGTACTGGTGTCAAAATAGTACTTAAGTAAAAGTACAAAGTACTCCTCTCAAAAACTACTCCGAGTACTAGTTACTTTTTAGTTGCCGATATTTAATGAATTACCAAAAAATATTCATATCAAAGATCTATGTAGATAATAGCTACTTTGAACAAAACACACTTTTATCTTATTGACAAAGTACGTGAATTAGTGGTCATGATA